CTTTTTGTTCCTTCTCCAAATGTTCTCTCTCCCTCTTATACAGACACACACATATTCTCTTTCTTCCTCTCTCATTCTCTCTCACATGGTCTTAAATTTCAGTACAAACTACAAATATCCTGATTATAAGATGCTCTGCCTTATGTCAAGTCTTATACTTATTTTGAGTTGGTAAACTTCATCTATCTAATGTGTTAGTCTCCTCTCTCCTGCTAAATTACTCACTTCATCTATTTTGCTCAATTCCCTTTTATCCACAATCCTTTAGAATCAGTTGCTTTGACACTGGGGAAGAAACTAAGCTTCTTTCTTAAATATTTGGTTAATTGGACACATTAATTCTGACTGAAACAATAAAGATATTTTAACTTTTATTGAGCATCTTAGCTCTCCTAGGCCAATACTCATCAAATTGAGCACACCACCTCAAATACTTAGCATCAGTTTTACTTGAAGAAGTAGGGCATTTAGCTTTTTCCTCCCTGGCTGCTTGAAGATCAAACTTCATCATGAATGACGCGGTAACTATCCGGACCAGGAAGTTCATGACGAACAGACTACTTCAGCGGAAGCAAATGGTCATTGATGTCTTTCACCCTGGGAAGGCAACAGTACCCAAGACAGAAATTCGGGAAAAACTAGCCAAAATGTATAAGACCACACCTGATGTCATCTTTGTGTTTGTATTCAGAACCCACTTTGGTGGTAGCAAGACCACTGGCTTTGGCATGATTTATGATTCCTTGGATTATGCAAAGAAAAATGAACCCAAACACAGAGTTGCAAGACATGGCCTATATGAGAAAAAGAAGACCTCAAGAAAACAGAGAAAGGAACGCAAGAACAGAATGAAGAAAGTCAGGGGGACTGCAAAGGCCAATGTTGGTGCTGGCAAAAAGAAGGAGTAAAGATTCTTCAGTGACTTTATCTGTGAAGGTTGTGCAGATTTTTCATGAGAGGATTAATAAACTATAAGCTTAAGAAAAAAAAGGGCATTTAAAAATGTAGATTAAAGTCCTTGAAAAAAGTATTTTTTTATATTAAAACAAATGTGAAAAGATTATGGAATAGGATGAGATATTCATTTGTATTTTTAAGGTAAAGTTTTATGAAGTTTGGAGCTGGTGGTAGACCACTTACAGCACTTGTGGTTGACTTTGGAGCAAGACTTCGAATCCTAGCTCCATTTTTAACTGTGTGTCCTTGGGCAAGTGGCTTAACCTCTTTGTGTCTTAGTTTCTCAGTCTCCTCATTTATAACATGGAAATCATAATATCATCTGCCTTATAGGGTTATGAGCATAAATCACAAGTATAAGTGAAATGTTGGAACAGTGGCTGGTACATGGTGAGCTCTCGCTAATGTTACCTATTTTCATTTTGATTTATACTTCCTGATGTCCCAGGGGCAAATTTTTTTGGTTCTCCTTTTTTGTTAAGGTATCTTAGCATAAAAGTTTGAGAAGCCCTTCCCCAGGATCCTCTCCAATATGTTGCACTTGCCTCTCTCTGTTGGTCTTTTGTAATGTTTCAGGAATGTATTGTTTTCTTTTCTTTTTTTGCAACACGATTAAAAACAAAGAGTAGCTGTTTTAGGAATTTGGAAAGGGAAAGGGAATGTCCCTCAGTTTCATTCATATTTAAAATAAAATAACCTAATAATTGGGAGCAGTGTACCATGGTGAAGATTTCAGAGGTAGGGAAGTGAAAATTTTCAGTCTCAACTCTCCTTGGGACCAATATTTGGACACACTGGTCATAAAATATGAAGTCTGTAATTGAAACTTTCTCTTGTAAGACTTGAGATATGTGTAGTCTCATCTGCTTATGGCTCATTAGGGAATAAATTTTCTGACGCAAATGAGGTTTAAAAAAAAACATAGTGTCTCTTTATTTGGTTAACATTATTTCTGCCGTTTGTTTTCCTTGTCAGCTTTAAAAGGAAGAGAGAAAAAGCAAAGCACCCTGCCACACTGCCAAAACTTGGCAGAAGAATTTCAGTGAGCAAAAATTTTCCTCCTTCAGCAGTGTTTGAAGTAGCTGCACAGTGGGGGCCCCACAGGCTATTTTTGGTGCTTCAAAACATCGTATCATGTACAGTTTAGCAGCCTCGGGTGCCTGAAAGCCAAAGGAAAAGACCAGTGTAGAACTGGAGGCGCCTGTCCCCTGTTCTTACTTGCCTCTTCCATCTGATTCTATCTTTGGCTCAGTGGTTCAGGAATCAGAGAATCAGAGGCCAGATCCTCCATTTACCATTGACATTGCTGGACCCTACTCTGCCATCACCACCACCTAGGACAGGAGCAGCCTAAGAAATTGGAGAGCAGTGGGAGCTACCCTTCCTTTGCTACCCTCCTTTACTTACCAATATTTTCTAGGCTTGTGATTTTTGCAACTAGAAATAAATATCTTCTAAGTTCATGATTTTTGCCACTAGAAATGAAAACACACGAATATTGACCATAACTCATAGTAAATGAGTGCCTGTGAGTTGCCATGTTCGATACTAAACTCACACCATTATAGAGTACACATCATTCATTCTTTCTATATCAAGGGTGAACTTGAGGCTTATTCAAGGTCACAAGTAAGTCATTGTATTAGTCAACTTTTCCAAAAAAACAGGACTAATAGGAAATATATATTTATTATGAAGAATTGGATCAGACATTTATGGAGGCAGAGAAGTCCCATAAGAAGATTATATCCTCTATCTGCAAGCTGGAGAACCAAGAAAGTCAGTGGTGTAATTCAGTCCAAGTCCAATGGCCTGTGAACCAGAGAAGCTGATATCCTAAGTCCCAGTCCAAGGTGGAGAAGATGTCATGAGATGCCCCAAGTCAAGTAGTGAGGCAGGAAATAAAAGGGATGACTTCCTTCTTCTTCTGGCTTTTGTTCTATTCAGGCCCACCCACACCGGGGAGGGCAATTTACTGTGTCTGCTGATTCAAATACTAATCTTATCAGGAAACACCCTCACAGACACACCCAGAAGTGATGTTTAATCTGGGTACCCTGAAGCCAGTCCCGTTGACACATAAAGTTAACCATCACTAGCCAGAGGTTCCGGATGTTGGAAAATATTTGACCATTGCATCGAGCCTGTTATATCAAGTTGCTATCAATGAATAACTAATCACATCATACAAAGAGCACATTTGTTTCTGAAGTGTCTGTGAGTCATCATGAGGGTTGAGAATCTAGGCTGGCTGATGTAGGCTAGGTGGCTGGCTGGGGTAGCTCTGCTCTGTGGGCCTCTCACGTTCTGCCTGAGATCAGCAGGTTAGCCTGGACATGAATAAGATGGAAACTGGAAATACACAAGGTTTCTTAAGGCCTATGCTTGGAACTGGCATACTCACTTCTGCCCCATTCCATTGATCAATGCAAGTCACAAGGCCAAGCCCAATGTCAAGTAGCAAAGAGATAATATTCCACCTCTATGGGTTGTAGTGGATGCTGAGCTGCACCTCCTCATCCCCTTTCAGAACCACTTATTCCCTCAGCTGCCAGGAATGTTTGTTGATGATGGCTCACAGATTTCTCCACCCCTGACTCTCATCCTCCCACTTCAACCCTCAATTCAGGTTCCCCATCCCCACTGTCTACCAGGAACTGCCCTCAGCTGAAGGATACTCCTTTGCCCAAAGGTGCCCCTTTGAGCAACTCACATGCAATGACTGGTCATATGTGAGGGCACAAAGACTGGACCCCTTGCCTCAATTCAAAACATCTATGAAGGGCTCTCCCAACTCCAGGGCTTCCCATTGGGTTGGCTGAAGCCTCAGTCCCATTTTTCTCTCTGTCTAATCTTGCTTCCCTCACTCTGTTAAAAGTGCTGTTCCTAAGAGCACTCCTCAATAATTATCACCTGCAAATCTAACCTTCCACCTGGGAGGAATTCCAAAGACAATGGCCAAGGGCATGGATAGAGTATAGGACAGAATCATACCCAATCTATAATAATAAAAGCATAATATGCTAATTAGACCAGACAGCCGAATTCCTTCCAGACAAAGCCATGGTGGCTGCGAGGGCTGAGGGCAGGCAGCTGTGGCGGGGTGATCGCAGCACCTTCCCCTGATCGGCCTTGTCACCTCCTGCAGAGGGAGGCCAAACTGTGGCTTAGGCCCGCTCCCATCAGTAGGACATCCCCTGAGGGCTCCTGGACTGTGAGAGGGGGCAGGCCAGGTTGAGGGACGCCCCCTCCCCAGTGCACGAATTTTCAATGCACCGGGCCTCTAGTAATACAATATTACCATACCTTTGCAGTTAACAACTAGGCTAAACTGCATGCCAGCTTAAAAAAAAAAAAGCATGAATTAGAGAGAACACTGAATCTCTGTCTGAAATGCCCTAATATGTATTTAAATCATTGATATTAGACCTCAAAATATATTTGAGATGAAACTCAGTTTGTAAAGGTAGGTAGTCCTGAAGAGTTGTGGGCAAATGGAAACTTCATAAATTGAATTACATTCTAAGTGTTGGTAGGAGTTTGCTATTCTAAAGTGAAAAATGCAGTGAATTATTTTGTGGATAATCACTTTAATAACTTATTGATTTTTCTGTGTCAGGTTGTATATATCAGCACTTTATTTCATTTTTATAAACCCATTTCAGATTTTTATGATTCCATGTGTGAAATTATAGCATGTTGTCACAAATTTATTTTGGGGCTCTGATTCTTAGTGGATTTCCTTTGCATTAATTTTAAACTGATATGAACCTTAGCAGATTCAAGGGACTCCGGAAAGATCTGGGGGCAGGATTGTTGGAAATGGGTACTGTGGAAATAATGAGTAGAGCAGATGAACAGCCCAGGAGAAGAAACTTTGGGCCAAGCAGTGCTTCTACAGTAAACAAGCAGGAACACAGAAAGTAGATACTTGCCCTATTCAGGGACGGGAATTAAGAAAACAGCTACAACAGAAGAACAAGTCAGTAGGAAAATCTAGTGTTGCAATCAAATATTGCCTACACTCTCTTTGTGATCTGCAGGTTGAGAAGGACAAGCTGGGCCAGAAAGCATGTCAGAACACTGGTGGCTGGGGAGCTGGAGGCCCCCATGTCAGGAAGCAGCAAGCTCAGAAGAGTGATAGATCCAACAAACATTTATTCAGTACTTATGGTATGCAAGTCATGTTTACATTCATTGTCCTCCTACTTTCCTGGGAAGGTTGTGGCTCTCTGATATGTTTACTATATCAGCCAGGGTCCAGAACATATTCTTGATATTTTAAACAGAGAGAATTTCGTTCAAGGAATTGGTTACATAGGAGATGACAGAGCTAAGAAGCCTAAAGTGGACCATGTGAAATCCTTGAGATTAAGAGCAGGAAGGTGCTATCACTGCCTAAAGCTTAAAAATCAAAAAGATCCAGGCTCACCAGGCAGAAGCTGGGGTGATAGCAGGCCTTGCAGTAAGAGTAGGTTTACAGAAGAGACAGTCACTGCCACAGATAAGGCCTGAAGCACAAAGACAGGGGGAGAAATTCCCTGGCTTCTCCTTTTCTTGCCTCTGAAGTGGGGATAATGGTGGTTTTTAGTTGGATTAAATGGGAAAAATCTGTGTCTAACCTGTATGTTCTAGGCCTCATCACAGAACAAGATCTCACATTCTTTTTTGGGTGTTTTTTGTTGTTGTTAATCCTCACTGAGGATATTTTTCCCCCATTGATTTTTAGAGAGTAGAAGGGCGGGGGAGAGACAAAGAGAGAGAAACATCGATGTGAGAGAGACACACCAATCGGTTACCTCACACATGCACCCCTACCTGGGAAGGGATAGAGCCTGCAATGGAGGTACGTGCCCTTGACTGGAATTGAACCTGATGCCCGTCAGTCATCAGGCTAATGCTCTATCCATTGACTGAAACCGGCTAGGGCTCCCTTTATTTTTATATTTCAATTTTTATGGCATGAATTTTCATCATACTTGACTTCAGGAGATTAATTCCCTTCAAAGTATTTCTAGTTGTTTCTAGACATCCTCAAAGAAGTTCCCTTGCCAACTTGTTTCTTTTGCAGTTGCTGTGGGCTTCTGTCCTGTTATTTTTTTTCTGCCCTAGCTCCCACATGTCTAGCATCTGCTTGCAAGGCCACTTGCTGAGGTTTCGCCAAGGCTGAAGTTTATCCAGGGTCACTGTCCATCAGGATAACATAGCCCATGCCAAGGGCATTGACTCTTAATGCTCCCAGAGAGCCTGGTTCTTGGGAAGCCTCCATGTGGCTTGTTTCTGTGGCGAGGAGGGGAGAATGGCCTGCTCTGGCTCTAAGCTGTCAGTCCCAAATATGCAGAGCCTCTCAGAGTCGCTCTAACTAGTTCCTCACCTGGTGTCACATAAAAACAAAACAATTCACAGAGGTTCTGGAACTTGCTTCCACCCTCTCCGCTAAAGGGATATCTCGGCCAGGGCTTGGAATGGGAACAGATGCCTTGCCACAGCTCTCCCCCAAACCCCATACCCTCCTGCTTCTTCCATTTTCCACACTGAAGCTCCTATATACATCAACCACTGTGGGATGGAACAGGGAGAGTCAAGTAGGGAGGAGAGGTCTAGATGTCCTTGGTCTATGAATCATTCCTGGAACAATAGTTGGAATATGGTATATTCTCAGTGAATGGTAATTATCATATAAATAAGAACGCCCATTTCCTAACTTTCAGATGCTACAAGTCCTTCCAGTTTCAGTTTAGATGTCAGTTCTTACAAGAATCCTGGCTGTAATCTCTTCAGTATGAAGTGGCTCTCCCTCTGTGTGAGATTCCTAGGGCTGCAGTACAAAGTACCAAACACTGGGTTGCTCAAAACAACAGAACCATACTCTGCCACAGCTCTGAAGGCTGCAGGTCTGAAATTAGTGTGTTGGCGGGGCCATCTTATCGCTATCTGCTCTAGGGGACATTGCTTCTTTGCCTCCTCCTGGCTTCTGTGGTTCTCTGCAAACGTGTTGTTTCTTGGTTGGTAGCTGCATCACCCAAACTGTCTTTGTTGTTTCATGGATGTCTTCTCCCTGTTTGTCTTCATCTTCACAGGATGTTCTCCTCTCTTATAAGGACACCAGTCAGAGTGGATTAGGGCCCACATCAAGGACCTCATTTTAACGTAATTATGTTTGTAAAGACCCTATTTCCAAATAAGGACACATTCCGAGGTATTAGGGGTTAGGTCTTCAAAATACCTTTTTGAGGGACATAACTCAACTCCTAGTACCCTCCAATAATCTAAAATCTAATAGCAACAACCTTATTTCTCTTTTAACATCTATCACATTCTAGCTTCATTTTTAGCAATTTATCTGTTATTTCCCCTTACAACACTGAACACTCCTAGGGCAGAATCTCTTTTTGTGCCCTGACAATACCTGCCTGCCCATAATAGGTTTGGTAGTTAATAAATGCCTGGGCTCTCTTCCTGACTCACAACCAATCCATTAGACTGGGGTATGCTGCCACCTTGCTTGGTATGTGCATTTCTGAGTTTCTTGTGTTTTTGGCTCTTTGGTTGATTTCTTTTCTGGAAAGAATATAGATTAGGAGGATGGGCTTGGCTAGCTGAGATAGCCAGTTACAGCCTGCCTCAGGTGGTTAAATATTTATGTTTTCTGGGAGTGAACAGCAAACTTCACTCTAGGGGAAATAATCTTATTTGTCTCCAGTTTATGTCTCTTTTTCTTCTTTTCCATTTTCAGCATCCTGATGATATCCTTAGTTACAGTTGCCATGGAAGTACTGTAGAGTTTCCTGCAGTGCTGGGTAGGGTGGTGCCTAGAGTCCTCTTCAGTGCAGATTTATGATGATGCCCAAGCCATGGGTTTCATTTGCTAGTTTTATAGCTTATTGTTGCTTGTCTTCAGGGGAGTGATATACATTTATTTTGGTCCCTGATTTATCATACTGATTTTTTTTCTTTTTCATTGGTTCTGGAGTACTCATCTTCTTCTTAAATACTCAACCCATGATATCACAGAATATAAAGGCAGGGCCAGCCCCATCTTCTTGTCCTGAATCAGTGAACAGATGCAGTCCCTCCATATCAATGGTGAGGGGCTATGCCAGCTTATCAAAGCACTTGAAATCTTTTAAGGATGTACAGTTTCAGAACTGAGACTAAGAAGAGGAAAGAAAACCATGCTATCTGGAGACTTGGACTCCGGTTGCTTCTATAAAATGGAAATAGTAATAGTAATAGTAATAGTAATAGTAATAGTAATACATGTCCCACCCACATAATAGGATTGTTATAAAGGCCACATTATTAATGTATGTGAAAACAATTTATAAGCTATACAGTGCTATAAATGCTCCCAAATGTCATTGTGTATCACAACTAAAATCTTTTTTAAAAATATATTTTTATTGATTTCAGAGAGGAAGGGAGAGGAAGAGGGAGATAGAAACATCAATGATGATAGAGAATCATTGATCAGCTGCCTCCGCACACCCCCTACTGGTGATCAAGCCCACTGCCCGCACATGTGCCCTTGACTGGAATCAAACCTCGGATCCTTGAGTCCACAGGCTGACGCTCTATCCACTGAGCCAAACCAGCTAGGGCTCAACTAGAATCTTAATAGTCTTGGCTCTGCCTTTGACCTGGGTGACCATGGGAAGTAACAATCTCCCGTGAAACAATGAGATATCATCTCACAACTGTCAGAATGGCTATCATCAATAAATCAACAAACAGCAAGTGTTGGTGAGGATGTGGAAAAAAGGGAACCCTCATGAAATGTTGGTGGGAATGCAGATTGGTGTGGCCACTGTAGGAAACAATATGGAATTAATTTAAAAAATAAAAATTGGAACTACCTTATGACCCAGCGATTCCACTTCTAGAAATACATCTGAAGAAACCGAAACACTAATTCAAAAGAATATATGCACCCCTATCTTCACTGCAGCGTTATTTACAATAGCCAAGATTTGGAAGTGGCCCAAGTGTCCATTAGTAGGTGAATAAATAAAGAAAGCTGTGGTACATTTACACAGTGGAATATTACTTGGCCATAAAAAGAAGAAAATCTTAACTTTTTCATCAGCATGAATGAACCTGGAGAATATTATGCTAAGTGAAATAAGCCAGGCAGAGAAAGACAAGTACCATGATTTCACTTATATGTGGAATCTAATGAACAAAAAAATCCCGTAACAAACAAAATAGAAACAGACTCATAGAGACAGAGAACCGACTGACAGCTGTCAGAGGGGAGGGGGATTAGGGGGTTGGATAAAAAAAGGTGAAGAGATTAAGCAAAAAAGAAAACACCTCATAGATACAAACAACAGTGTGGTGATTATCAGAGGGAAAGGGGAGCGGGGCAGGTAGAAGAGGGTAAAGAGGGGGCATAAACGATGATCAAAAGTTACTTGACTTGGGGTGGTGAACACACAATACAAAATACAGGTGATGTATGATAGAATCATACATCAGAAACCTATATAATTTTATCAAGCAGTGTCACCCCATTAATTCAATTACCCCCCCCCACACACACACACACACATCTCTGATGAAGACCTGAGTTGGTCTCTTTACTAAACAATCTGAACAAATGCTCAGGTCATTTTGCAGCATTTTCAAGGTCATCTTTTTAGGAAGGAAGGGATAATATGACCTTAATTATCAGGTTGAAGAGGAGGAAAAATCTTGATTTTTTTTGGATATCTTTTTCAAGTTAGTTCTTTAATATCAAGTCTTTCTGATGCATCTATACTTGTTTGGCATATTGGCATGTGCTATTGCAATTTTGCTCCTTTGCATAGTTGTGTTTTTGTTTTTTTGGGTTTTTTTTGGTATGTGGTTTGGTTTAGGGTAGACACTCAGCCACCTATTAGAACACATTTAGGCATGAAGACTGACAATTCTAGGGAGAAGTTCTAAATACACTTAGTGATTTGATTCATGTATCTTAGTTTAAAAAATCTGTTAATTTATTCTGGAGATGCTCTAAAATTGATGTCATTACAATTAAACAATTCTTAATAAAGAATATTCTGCGTGACAACTCTAGATACATTTATTATGCAGCTTTTCTGGAAGCACTTTTTCTTTTCTATTGGATATATTGGGGTAGCATTGGTTATGGAAGCATTTTCAATTTGCTCATTTGGAACAAGTTTTGTGTG